ACCTCCTCCACCCCTCCTGGCTGCTCACCTCCTCCACCCCTCCTGGCTGCTCACCTCCTCCACCCCTCCTGGCTGCTCACCTCCTCCACCCCTCCCGGCTGCTCACCTCCTCCACCCCTCCCGGCTGCTCACCTCCTCCACCCCTCCCGGCTGCTCACCTCCTCCACCCCTCCTGGCTGCTCACCACCTCCACACTTCCTGGCTTTGGCTCTACTTTGAGTCCCAACAATTTTACAGTAGTGTCTCTCATCCTCACCTCCGTCAGTTACAGATGTCAGCCACTGTGTCCCACCTCTCTGCCCATCACTGCAAAGAGTGGTCTCTAGACAGCCTACAGTAGGACTTTCAGTACATTGGCCCTTATTGGGGTCACCTTGTGAGGGCCGAGATCACCAGTGAGGAACGGTCTGAGCACCTCTGATTGTGGGTCCAAGTCTCTCAGAGCCATAGAAGTCACACATCTAGGCATGGAGGAGGAGGAAGAGGAGGAGGAAGAGGAGGAGGACCCTTGTGGTTCTGTGCTGTCAGGGAACTTGGGCACATGCTCCCTCAGTTAGCTTCATTTAATTGTCAGCACACTAGACAAGGTCAATGACCTCCTCTTGTTATATATAGGGGACAGGGGCTCAGAGAATTCAGGGTGTTGCTTCCAGCACTGCAGCTGGTTCCCTGGGGAACTGATGTTTGTGGCCTAGCTTGTCTTAGCCCCACAGCTCCCACACCCATTATTTATGGGACCTAGCCGACACACAGCTCACTGGTGAAGTTTCTGGGATAGAGCACTCAGAAATAGCCAGGGCACCAGCCATTTTTCTATAGCTTAGTGTCTCCAGGATCAAGAGCTACTAATTAGAGCTGGTTAGGGACTGTGAATGTTGGTCTGCTTAGGGAGTGGGAGGGCTGAGACTCTGGGGAAGAAGCATGTACGATCCCTAGCACCCAGGCAGGGTGGGGCAGTCTGCCAGTGCCTGTGCCGATGTTCAGCCTCTTGTAGCCTCTGCACAGACATGTTTCTGTACCAGCTTGTGCCAGGACAACTGCCTCAGTTCATTTATAGTACTATAACAAAACACCACATGATGGCTTCTAGACATGAAAATCATACTTATTTATTTTTCATGATTTCGTGTGTGTATACTTGTGTTCCTGATATCCTATGCATGGAGCAGATGTGCATGCACATGTGTGAACATGGATGTGGAAGTCAGAAAGCAACCTCAGGTCCTTTTCCCAGGAGCCCTGCACCTCTGATTTTCTTTGTTGTTTGCTTGCTTTGGTTTTGGGGTCAGGTCTCTCACTGAACCTGGAGTTCACTGGTTAGCTCCCTGCCTGATTCCACCTCCCCAACACAGGGATTACAAGCCTCTGCCTCCATGCCTGACTTTTAATGCAGGCTCTGGAGACTGAATGCAGGTTCCTCATGCTTGTCCGGTAGGCACTTCACTGAGTGACTTGTCTCCCCAGCCCGTATTTCTCACAGTTCTGCAAACAGAAAGTCAAAGATGAAGCTGATGGTGGGCACACCTTCTCACGTGTATGCTACAAGGGCAGAAAGGTCTCATGTTTCTGAGTCTTGCTGTATAGCCCAGGCTTGTCTTGAACCTCTGATCTTCCTGTCTGAGCCTCCCTCATGCTGGGATTGCACCCCACACCACCAGGCCTACTGATTTGAGATCTCCTACAGAGGCCCTAATCCCAGTCATGAAAGCTCTGCCTTCTTGTCCTATCCATGTATCCCATGGCTCTTGTTTTCTGGAGCGGGGTGTGGGAAATGAACATTCTGTCTTCCTTAGATGTTTTCTGGAAATTACGGGTAAAACTATCTGAGCGAGGTGGTTTTTAGTTTTAGTTTTTTTCACTTGTTATTCGAGAGACTGAACCAATATTCCACTTGAGGGGCCCCCTGTTTTATCTCTTTCTCTTTAAGTGACTTTGTGTCCTTCCAGGAATCTTTGAACCCTCTCAGGAGTTTGGAATTTGAAGCTGCCAGAGGACTTAGCTTTCTCTCCCTGGGAACTCAGCAACTAGAGAAAACGTCCCTTTGAACTCTCACTCTTTGTGGAGTCTGCCCAGGCCTCAAAAATTTGCCTTCTCCATCCAGGCTTAGTGAGGGCTCCTGGTATGTGGAACTGGACAAAGGTGACCATGGTGTGAGGGGAGTGGATCCAGGAAGGGAGGTTCAGTCTTGGTCACAGAGTGGTCTTGAACTTGATTGGTCTAACCTGAGATCATTTAAGAGCTTGGAGGCTCAAGATTTCCCTGCTCTTGTCATTTCCTGAGAAATACCTGTCTGACCATCCTGAGGGTCAAGTGCTTTTTAAACCCATTGTCTCTCTTGGTAGGCCCTGTGGGCTTGGACCTAGCTGCCTCTGGTCGGTTACCCTCAGGATGAGTGTCAGGGAGCCCTCCCCGCTGCGGAGGTACACCACGTTCGTTCCCTAAGCCAGCTCTGTGATATGCGTGCTTTTCCTGCTCCCGATGCTGATTCTGAATGCATCTGTCCCAGGTGGCTCAGGAGTCTCTGTGGGAACTGGGGTGACAGATGATGGGAACTCCAGCAGTAAACTGAGACTGTTCAGTTCCAGCTGAACACCTTAAGCCACTGAGAGGTGGACCAGGTGCAGAACAGCCCTTGTGGTGAGAACAAGCCACTGCCCGGGAGTCACTCATCCCCTGAAGACGTTCATTTCTTCACACTTGTTAAATTAATTACATGTCTCCTCACTGCACCAAATCCCCGAAAAAAGCAACTTAAAGGAAGGGAGTGTTTTGGCTCACAGTTTGAGGGTCCAGTTTATTATGGTGAGGAAGGCATGGTGGCAGGAGTGTGAGGTGATGCAATGTGAGGTCACATGGCATCCACCATCAGTATTGAGACAGAGGTGATGGGGGAGAGGAGGAGAGGAGAGGAGGAGAGGAGAGAAGGAGAGGGGAGAGAAATTCTGGTCCTTTTCACGCATTGTGTGATGCCAGCCTACTGAATGGGGCTGCCTTCCTTTAGGGCAAATCCTCTTACCTGAACTCAATCTTGAAGCTCCCTCACAGGTATGCCCAGAGAGAGGCTTGTCTCCTAGAAGACTCTGGATCCTGTCAGCTTGACAGTATGAACCCTCACAGCCTTGCAGGGCCTGCCCTTCACTCTTGACTGCCTGCTGAATGAAGAGATAGTTCTTCCTACCCAAAGCTGGCTCCTGGAACTCTCTCCCAAACACTCTTTGCAAACATCTTTGCAGGACGAGAAGACTTCCAGCCCATCCACCATCTCTTTTCCTTCCTGTTTAGTTCTCTCCCTCTTTGTACTAGGTTTCTGCAGTAATTTGTGAAATACGGTAAGTCTCTCTTACAAACTTAAAATATAGCAGAAATATCAAAGTCTGCAGCTCCTGCCCGTCCTTCGCTCTGTAGGTGCAGGGTTTCCCACAGGGACTGCCTACACTTGTCTCCAGTGTTTTACCTCCCTGTCACTCTGCCATCACTGTAATCTAGCTTCTGCTGGCACTGTGCCACTAAAACACCCGTGCTTCAGGTGACTAATGGCCTCTATGCTCTGCATGAACGCTCTGCGGAGTTCTGTGCAGATGAGAACAGCAGGTGAAGCCCGATCTGCCCTCAGCTCCTGGTTCCTCCCATGCTTTGGCCACACCTCAGTCCCCTGGCAGGTTCGACCTGCAAGACCTCCATTAGCTGGGGCCTTCTCTTTTCTTACCACTGAATTTTCACCTGAAATGAAGCAATTTCCTTTACAGTCACTTCCTTATTCTTCTTTGTCAAGGCTCCAGGTTGGTCCATCCTTTCACGTGGCTTGGCAGCCAGCCCTAGTGGGTACAAACCAGTCAGTCAAATGTTAACATCCCTGCATGGGCTCCAACTTCCTCTGCTGAGTGGCTTTTCTGGGCTTTGTTCCTCTTTTGATAAGAGAGACCTTAGGGACTTCTGACCTGCTTTTATTGATTTTGACTGGAGACAGGGCTCCTAGACTACTGTAGAACTCACTACCTTAGCACCCCACAAATTTAGTCAAGATGTTGGGGGTGTTTCCCAAGAAGCGTGGGTTGTCTGTGTCATAGCGAGATGAATCACCCTGTAATGGCTCTAAGGCCATGTTTCTTGTTTTGTGAGATAGTGAGTTCTTTCTTTGTTGACCTCAATTCAGGTTGAAGTTTTGGTTATGGGTAGATATGATTGTGTTCTTTCGGCTCCACACACCACTGATTTGCAAAATATACACATATTTCTATAATCATACTGGAATAATCTTCAGAGCTTCACATTTGTATAGCTCATGGCTGACTGGCTTAGAGTCACACCTTAGCTATTTTGAAGACCCCTGTCATTTCTGGAAGCCAAGTCATGATCTGTCCCCTTGGCCTCTCTTTCATCAATATTCTCTCCTGAGTGAGTAGTGTTATGTGTGTCTAGTTTTGCATACAGGAACCCAGAAACCCTCCTAGAGCTGCTTTTGCCTCAGCCTTTTGGTCATCCCTAGTAAATATCTTTCTAGCTAAATTTCTCTCCTCATTGCCTCTCCTGAAATGTTTATTCTCTCTGATCTCACATATGAATGTTCTTAGTACTATCTTTCCCCTTCCAGAATATCTGCCCTTTGCCCTGTTCTATTCCCACACACCACAGCAAGGTGCTATCACCTGGAAGGGACCAATTAATGCCCATGTTTCCTGGCGTATGGTGGTTTCTGAAAGTTAATATTTTCATTTGACTTCAAGATGGTGTAAAAAGCGATAGGTAACCAGGAGAAACCATATCTCAGGTTTTTAATTTTTATGTTTTCAGAGATATAGATATTCTGTATGACCCTTTCTTGTGATGCTGGCCAGAGGCAGTGGGCTGAGGCTTTTTGTTGGCTCTGTGACCACGAGGGGGGCAACTGATGCCCTGTCAGCCCATGCTGCAGTGGTGTTTTCAGGTGGTGGAGACAGAACCTTGTCACAAACTGAAGAACATCAGTCCTTGAGGAAATAATGGATCAGCTAGCCTGGTGTGTACAGTGGTGTGTGTGTGTGTGCATACAAGAGACCCCGCCTCAAACAAAGTGTGGAAGGTGAGGACTAACAACAACTGAGGTTGTCCTCTGATGTCCACACGTCTCATGGCACTTGCACACCTGTACTCACAAACATGATCGTATGCAAGTGTATGTACGTGGATACACATGCATACGTACCCATGCTTTGCATGCATTCATACACGCACACACATCTGCAAGCACATGTACACACACACACACAAACACACACACACACACACACACACACACTTCACAGGGCTTCAGAGAGAGGAAAGGAAGTTGGAGCCCACAGTAGAACATTCCTTTTCCTCTCAGGCTTGGCAGAGCGCAACAAACACCTCTGAGAGGAAGACGGTGCCTACTCCTAGTGAAGTGGTACTGACAGAGCCCAGGGACTTGTGCTCTGACCAAACTGTCCTCAGAACAGGAGTGGGCTGAGCCAGCATGCATGTGCTGCCTAAAGGCACTTACGGTACTCCTCCTCCTCTTCTTACTGCAGTGAGAATAGAAAATGACCGGCACTCATGCAGCATTCTCTTCTGAGCTGGCAGCTTGCTTTCTGGCTGCAGATAAGCAGCAGGTATGAGGGATGTTTGTCAAACCGGCCTCTGAGGGGAACTTTCCCTTCTGCTTTTCCTGTCAAACTAGTGAGTGAATGCCATTTCTGCTCCACACTGCAAGCTCCTAGTGTGCAGGTGAAGCTCTGGATGCTCCCCCCTGCCCCCCCCCACACCCGGCAAGCAGTGGGTCCACAGAGCCCCTTCTGCACTCTTGTGTGTCTGGTTTCTTGGACTAAGCACAGGATGAATCATCCTTGGGGAAAGGTTGATGGGTGGAGACGTGAGACGCCCAGGAGGATGTGACTGGCCTGCAGGCAGGACCCTGCACAGTGTGTTCCCCTCCACAGAACTTGCTTCCAGCAGGAGGCACTGGGGGAAGGGTGTTCCCTCCCAGGAGGCTCCTTGGCTCTACTTGGCAAATGTTACAGTGTGCTACCACGGCTGCAAATCTCCTCCCTGGTCTTCTGCTCTAGTGGCCCAGCTGTGGTGTAGGGAGCCTTGAGCGCCCCGAGTGGAGAGCTAAACTGCATCTAAAGTGGAGGAGCAAAGCCAGGGAGATGACGCTGGGGTGGCTCGAGTCTGAACTGTCCCCCAGGTTCATGAGTTTGAACATCTGGTCCTCGTGTGGGGGTGCTACTTGGTGGGTTATGGAGCCTTTAGGAAGTGGATCCTGGCTTGAGGAAATGAGTCACCAGAAGCAGGCTTTTGAGCTTTTATGACCCGGCACCACTTCCTGTAAAGGCTCTTCTCTTCACAGTGTGACCTGCTGGCTTCCCGCCCCACCCCTACTATGTGTCTTTCCTCCCTCCCTCCCACGTGACTTCCCCACAACAGTGGCCCATATCCCCTCCAACTGTGAGCCTCAGGCATTTTGTCACAGCATGGAGGAATGTAGCTTTGCATATGCTGTCTCGGGCTTGCCCCGTGGGGTGGCTTGGCAGTGCAGTGCTCCAAACTCGATATCAAGGGTCTGTTACCATATTCATGGCAGCATTTGGGGACCCACAAATCTGAAACCTGGGCCAGTGTGTTTTCCCTACAGCAGAGACATTCCTCCTCAAGAAGTCCAGAGCCTCCACTCGCATTGGCCTCGGTTACTGTTCTGAACACAATATTCCACTGGACAGCAAAGGCCCTCATTCTCCCTTAGGGCTCTATGAGGGTCAGATTCCAAATGGAGCAATTGAACAACTTCTCCATCACTTACTAACATATATTTGGGTTTCATGGGATCCTGCCTGGTGAAAAGCCATGTTCCCTGGGGATTGGCAGCTGCCCAGAATAGCAAATTAGTGACAATTAGTGACAGGGTCCAAGAGACAAGGGCTTTTAGATGAAGTGTACACGAGTGGGAAGCCTGGCCAGAGAGAAGCTCCATGGTGCAGGTCAGCTTCCAGTGCAAAGGAGCAGTCTTCCTCCACATAACTGTGTGGATGGAGCCTCTACTTCCTGTCTTGTCCTTTCTGGAGAAGGTCAAGGACACTGGAGACAAGACAGGGACCACTCTGCTTTGTCAGCTGCCTGGGCAGCTGGCAAGAGTCTGATGAGTACCACTTGTGGATATGAGATCTGTCCCTGGGAAATGGGGGCTGGCTCAGAACTCGAGTGTCAGAGCCATGAGCAGCGGGAGCCCACTTGAGGGGAGCTGACAGTCACAGTGGGTGCCGCAAGGCCAGGACGACCAGACACTGGGAAAACCAGGAGCTGAGAGGCCGCGCTTAGCGCACACTGTACCAGAGCAGCCAGGCAGGACTAGAACTGCGGCCCCGCTCTTCTGCAGCCTGCTTGCCGAGTTTCACTTGAACTTGTGTTCCCATGGCGTCAGGTCACTTCTCAAGCGGGCTCACCCAGTCAGTTCTCTTTGATCATGAAAGTAATCCAACACAGCTACGTGTACATGTGGATGTTCCAAGCCCATTGTGCAATGTTTTGACTCCACGACTGTCTCTTCCGTATGCTTGTCTTTAGAGGGGCTGAGAGTGCTGTTAAGTATCTCCATTCCATGCAGGGGGTGAACTAGAATGGAGATGGCCCCTAGGATTGTCCTTAGGCCAATGCAAGTGTTCTGTTTCCTTAATTCATGCTTTCTGGCCCCGTGGAATGGCCCAACACTATGGCGCCAGCTGTCCCTACTGGACTCAGTGGGGCCTGAAGCAACGTGTGTCCTGGGAATAGAGAGTTTAAGAAACAGGCATTTTCTCCACCCCCAGGCATTGGGAACCACACACAGACTACTGTCTCTGACTCAGCAGCTCATGCTCTCCAGCGGAAAGCCATATCAAGCAGGAATCGGCACTGTGTATGAGCCAGGAGAACCCTCAGCTGACCCGTTTTCATTGCTGATGGAAGTTTTAGTACCACATCTCTGGTTGTCGCTCCTTTGAACATGGCAATGTACACATGGAACTGATTCTCCATTTGTCTAAAGCAGAATCAACCTCAGCTTTCCTATTTGGGGCAAATCAAGTGCTCTGAAGGGAAGAAGAAATGGCCAGAAAACACAATCTGTCTCACAAAAGACAGAGGCCTAGAGGGATGTGCTCCGGCTTTTACAAAGGCAGCTGCAGAGGATTCTGTGGGTAAAGAATTAAGAGAGGAGCAGGTCAAGAGCCTACCTGCCTCCTGGAGATAGTGCCAGTGAGCACCACACCCCCTTGGCAGATCTACACGGCTGTCACCTCTGCTGTCGGGATGCCTGAGAGTTATAACAGCTCAGGGCACAGGGAGAAGGGAATTCTGGGCATCTCATCCATCCTCCCATGACTCACTGCTACTGCTTAGATGTAGAATGTCTCATCTAGCCCAAGTATTGGAAGTCTGGTCAGTAATTTGATGCTGTTTGGAGGTGGGGGAGCCTTTGGGAGTTGGGGATCCAATGAAAGGTTTTTGGGTCATTGAGTCATTGAGGGAGTTCTCTGGAAGAGAACTGTGGAATCCCAATGTTTCACATTCTCTCTCTCTCTCTCTCTCTCTCTCTCTCTCTCTCTCTCTCTCTCTCTCTCTCCCTCTCCCCCCCCCACCTCTTTTGCTTCCTGGTTGTGAAGCTGAGTGGCTTTCTTTTGCTGTATGCTCTGGCCATAATGTGCCACTCCAGACCCCGAGCGATGAGAAGAATGATGCATGAACTGACGCCTCCAAAGCTCTGAGCCCAAATAAACCTTCTCTGCCAATAAGCTGAGTCTGGAGGTTTGCTAACACGATGGAAGGCTGACTGATGACATGTTTGTCTGCTGGGAGGAAGGCACAGAAAAGGACTCCCTGGGGCCAGAGCCATCCTAGCATTAAATACTGCTGAGAAACCTAGAGATGCTTGAAGCCACAGCAGACCTCCCAGAAAGGTGAGATCTTTGCTGGAACCCATAGATGGGGCATGAAGTCAGTGTTCAAATGATGACCTTTGGGCTTGAAGGAGCCATGAAAGTCACCACTGGCAAGATGTTAAAAGAAGTCTGTTGCATACATTCTTATTTAGCACCAGAGATATTGGAGGGCCTGGGGTATCACAGACTTCCCACCAACACATGAAGCCTTGGCATACTGATTTACACTATGGTCACTGGGTTCACATTATACAAGGCACCAAACCCTTCAGATCTGCACCAGCTGATCACAGGCACTCAAGGCCACCAAGCATGTGAAAAACTGGCAAATCTTTATATCCTATTTGCCTGTTGTAAGTTCTGGGGACAGGATAACCATAGACCAACTCATGGAGCACCTAAGGCTATGTCTCCGTGATGAAGCTTTGTCACCAGCCCCTCACAGAAATCATCCCAATAATTCGAATCACCAAGATTGTGGAAGCCATGGGCACGGTGAGCTACAAAGTCCAAGAAATCGTGGAACATGTAGGAAAGAGAAAGCCTAATGAAGTCTCAGCAGCAGGCACTCTACTGAAATACTGATTAAGCCATGGGCACGTTTTCATCAAACAGGAAAGTTTGTGAAGTGCCATTCAAACATGGGCCCTACAGGTCCTCTCCCCTCCTCCTCCCTCTTAATTTCATCTCATCTCGGAAGAGCCAACTGCAAGAGGTGGATGAAAAAGGAAGGGGCAAGGGATGCTCGAGGTCTAGCTTACCTGACCTATTATGCCGCTGTCCTTCTAATCCAGCCCCACAAGATATTGCTGTGGATGCCAGTAGCATCCGCAGTGCTATGGAGATCAGTATTGACTTGAGATTCAGTGAAACATCGCCTGATGATATAGCCTCCATGGAGCCTCCCCAGGATGGGGAAACCAAAGATGAGAACGACAGGGGCAGGTCCCCCAAGGAACCATCACTGGGTCCTATCATCAGCGACCACCAGCCCCAGTTGCACCCACAGCCTCCAGCACTACTAGACGAAGGGATGAAAGGAGGAGAGGAGGCACATTGTTCACTTGCTTCATACTCCATGTTGTTGCCTCCCTACCTTGGAGGAAAACCGTGCATTTCCCAGGTAAGAGACAACAACCAGAAGAATGGGGTCGGGCAGGAAACGCAGCATAGGCATGGCCACCAACATTCACTTGTGTGTTTGATCTTTGCTTTCTAAATGCCCCATCCCACTGGCAGGCTGCACTCATGCCGAGGTGCACAGATCCTATGATGTCTGTGACCCTTAGAAGGAGCTTTCTTTCTTCCTGCATCCTCCTTGTGTGGATTCTGGGGAAGCTGACCCAGCAGCAGACAGCAGAGGATGTGGTTGGGGCTAAGGAAGGAGGAAGGAGGGAGGGCGGAGGGCTTGGTGGAATGGGGCACAGGTTCAGGAGTGAGGAGTCAGGTGGAGGCCTATGGCAGAGCAAGGTAGCTCAGTACAAAGTCCTGTCTGTGCCAATTTCACTAACAGAGTCCTTTTCTTGTGTCTTCTTTCAAGGAGTAGAAACAACCCCAGGTCTGTGGTCATCAAACCACAGGGCTGGGGTCAGCCTGGTATGGACTGAGAGCTACAGGAAGGAGCCAAGCCAGAACTCCAGGAGACTGTATGCTCAAATGCCTGTTGCCAGACAGACTTCCCTGGGAATCAGGCACAAGCTCCTCCACCCCTCCCCTAGCTGCCGGGTCTGAGCTAACAGCTCCTGCCTCCTTTAGTTCACTGGGTCTCCAATACTGTTGTCCGGAGAAGGACATGGTCCACATGGCTTCCACCTTATGAAGCTACATTCCTCCAGTATAGATGGGATGGAACACCCACAGTGAGAGAACTGAGTGCCCCACTGGACTCAAGGACCTTCATCAGCTTGATCCCTCATCCTCACCAACATTATCACCAACTGCTGCAGAAACTGTGTAAGCCTAGCAGGGTGATGACTGGCTGTAAGGGCAGAGAGAAGGGGAGAGAGGGGAAAACGGGACACCGGGAAGACAGAAAGGGAAGACCAGAGGCGGAAAGGGCGTGAAGCACAGTAAAGGAAAAGGGGGGACTGTCTGTTCAGAGGAAATTCTAGTCGGGCAGGTGGGAGGAAAGGGATGAGTGTTTTGGATGGGGACAGGGGCCACGGACAAGCAGGAGCAAACTTCTCTTGAAGAGGAGAGTTGGGGGTGCAGGGCATGGGTGCCTGCGGGGGTTCCTGCAAGTGTTATGACCTTCATGCCCTCCATAGGCACCCATGAGGAAAGGAGGGTTTCTTCCTGGTGGGTTGCAGCATGTGCCAGGTGCATTAGTAGGATGTTGCCTTGCAAAGCTGCTCCCGTCCTGGGGTGCTGAGGCAGGGTGGGGCTGCCGAGAAGGGAAAACTCATCCTTCACTGATGCCTCCTCCTCCTTGTGCTTGACCCAACCTTGGGATGACCTGGTAACATTTGTGTCTTTGCTTTCTTCACAGTTTCCATCCTCTAAGCACCAAAGGTGTTGGTTCCCCATCCCAGGATTCCAGAAACTGGTAGAAGTTTTCCTATCCCGCTGAGAGATTTCTTGACCGTCATTTTGACTAGGCTTTTGAGTTTTTTTTCTGTGACACCTAGGCAGGGTAAGAAGATATTCAGACCTGGGACCCAGCATTGCTTCCACAAGCCTGGCAGCTGTGAGACTACTTTGTGCCCAGTGTCTCAGGGATCGGGCTTAAAAGGAAATCTTGATCCCCTACGTAGCTGCTGATGTCAGCCATTGATGCTGCAAAGATCCCTGCTGGGTGAGGTGTTGGGTGGGGTGTCTGTAGTGTTCTCCTGGGCACCTTCCAGGTAGGAATCGGCTACCAGAGTCAGCAGGGGAGTTAATCTGTGGGGATCACGCCACTGAACATCATGTTAATTCTGCTGTGTGTCTGCTTCTGGTAGAAGATGTTTCTGAAGCCTCGTCCTGTCTTAACATCTGCCCAAGTGAAGAGAAGGGGGGATCAGGTGGCTGATCTCATCCTCCCCACAGCAGAGGGAAAGATGTCACTGGGTTTCTTTTCTGAGGAACCTGCGATGACTGAGAAACTGCTGAGGCGTGGCTAGGTGTGATCTGTTTGGCTAGGCAGAAGGTCTCCTGATCACGGTGGAACACTGGGTCACATTGAGAGTGGCCAAATCATCTTCTCACTAGCACGGCATGAAGGCCATGCTATCATCTGCCAGCCACTGCATGGCATCACGCTCTAGGACCTGACCACCATGTGATTCCCATATGGCCCCACATGGGACACGTGGCCAGTGACACTGAGCATCTTGCTTGTGGGGTCAGAGCAGGTTTTGGGTGTGTGGGTGTTCACTGGGGCAGACCTTTGCTGCTTCTTTGGATTAATGAAGCCAGGGCAGGGAAGCGGGGTGGGTTCTGTGGCCCTCTTAGGAATGAGTGAGGGGAATGCGGGTCCTGGATGGGAGAGAGGGTTATTCTTTGGGCTTTACGGACGTGCTCTCCAGGGGGCTGGCATGCTTTGTTATGTCATGACCATGGACATGCTTCCCTGTAGTCAAGGAACATCAGGAACCATTCACTGCAAAAGAACATAGAATTTGAGTTCATGTCCCTCTGGCCTCCTTACTTGGTCTGCACACTCCGCCCACCCATTCTTACAGGACATTGGCATGTCATTGAAAACTGTTATTTCAATGGCTGTTGTTACCCTTTGTGCTGGTCCTGTGGGAAGGGTCCCTTGTTCAGTGGGTGGCACCCAGCCCATGGCCACAAGTCTCAGGATGGATGGAGCCTTCTTTAGGTCTGGGCCAAATGCAGTTCTCAAGTGTGAAGACAGTCAGCTGATTCCCTGAATTCTTTCTTTCTTTCTCTGCAAGGATCGCCTTTCCTTGTTACAGAGGACAGAGGTGTCCAGGCGGCCTTAAACTTTCTGCCCATTCTCCAGACAGACTTTTGGCTTGCTACCTGAGAGCAGAGAATTAGGTGAGGAATGACGCCCCACACGTTGGGCACCCACTCATTGCTTGTCTGTCCTTCCTCGCCCTGCCAGTTGGAGCCAATGTGGTCACTAGCAGCTCCTGGGTATCAGGTTGCTCACACTCGCTGTTCAGTGTAGCCCGCAGACTGCAGGTGTGGTCTGCTGTGCTAGGCAGCAGGTCTTCACTCTGAACTTCACTATCCAGAACATTGTGGAGCACTGGTTCATACTGAAGGGAGTGGCAGAATCACCTTCCACCTCCGGGTGGAGGAGACATCGTGGACCTCCTCAGAAGCATCGCATAGCTTGTTCTTGGGGGAAAGAACAAATTTGGTCAGTCACTGTGTAATCTCTGAGCCAGGCATGTGGCCCTAGCCATGATGTCCTTTGTGGCCCCAGACTGGGTTGGGGGTTCACATCTCAGCTCTAGAGATCCACCATGGCCTTCCTTTCTGGTCTCGGCTCTGCTGGCTCTACTGGTGTGTCCACCATTGAAGCTCTCTTCACTCTGTCTCGGCTGGACAAGTGGAGGGGAGATGGAGAGTGGGAGGACGGAGGCCCCAGGGTGACATGTCGGTGGGGAGCCGTTTCTGACCATCTGACCCAGAGTTTGCTGCAAGGGGAAAGATGAGGGCCAGCCAGGCCAAGCTCAACCGGGAGTCAGAGGCCCTGCTTGGTGTCCCTCCCCAGGGGAGGTTACAAGGAAGGAGTCAGGCTTTGTACCTGCCTCTCTTTAGTCTCTGACACCAGTGAAAATGAACTCACTGTTCTCTGCAGAGGCTGCAGACTCGGTCCTGGGGAACAAGGGACTTTGTACCAGGCTATCCATTTGTCCAGAATGTTCTTCCTCTTTCACAGCCAATTGCCCAAACCTTGGAACCTGTAGCCAGGACTGTCTTGACCTGGTAGCCGGCACTGTCCAGCACTGGTTGCACAGGGCCATCTAGGTTCCCTCGCTGTGGAGACTTGATATTTGGTTTCCTGAGGGCTCTGGAACATGACCCAGCCCCACAGGGGCCTACAAGACAGGGACGCGTGGTGGGGGGGACAAAACAGTTTCTCTCCCAGACACCAGTTACTGTGGCCTCTCCCCTCCTTGATAAGATCTGAGATCTTGCAACAGGATCCCCTTGGGCAGCATCACATGGGGTCTGACTGTTGAAAACCTCTCCTTCAGCTCTGCTTGCATTTCCACGGAGCAGAAAGGTCACCCTTGTCTCTTCTCCCACATACAGCTTCTCCAGACAACCTCGAAAGGGTTTGAGAATGTGTCCTCTGCTGAGCCCCACAAAGTCAATGTATAACTGTGCCTGCCCTCTGGACAGATCACCCGGGGAAGGGCGGTGTCTCCCTCCCTCCTGTCCCAGGACACTGCTAATGGGAATATGAGGAACTTGAGAACATCCATATGGACAATCTCTCGTTGGCCTTCTCAGGACTTGGTCTGCCCTGAAGGAGCCACAGCTCAGTCAGGCTGCATTTGAGATCACAAGTTTTAACTAAACACAGAGCACAGTAGCTGATGCATGCTATTGGTGACTACCCGGATGGTTTAGAAGACACTGTAAATGAACTCCAAGGGCTCTCATGTCCATGAGTGCCAAGACAAATCAGGCAGATGGTGGTACACACAGAGACGGAAAGATTGAATACTTGCAGCAGGTAAGGAGTTCATGGGGGTCATTTGGAAGTTGATGTCCTCTAAAAGAGAGCATAGGGATTTTACGTAGAGAGCTTAAACCTATTCACAGATGAGCAGCCCATTCATAAGTATGCTTGGTGAAGGAGGGAAGTACATTCCTGGCCACGGAGCACTATTTAAGTGATGTTGATGAAGAGCCCCCCGGGAAAGTGGCTGCCCCACTTGGTGGCTGACAGCACTCCTTTGGGTACGTGGGTTCATGCAGTCCCTCTGAGCACAAGACTCACAGGGAATCAGAGCCACTGGTGAGCTGTGTCCTCATCACTCACTAAAGCTAGGAGCAAAATGCTGTTAAGACATGTCGGGAAGAGTGTCAGGAAAAGGTATACAGAATTTGTGTCCCTTCTAGCCTTCAGACTCGGTCTCCCCATTTCTCTCCATTCTTTCTGCAGGGGTAGTGACACAGTTCTGAAACCTCCTTTTGTGAGGACTGCTGTTACCCTTTGTTGTCATCCCACAAGAAGAGGGCCTGGCATCAGGGATAGTGCTCAGCTCGCAGCTCACAACGGAACCCCCATCTCCAGGGAATGGTCAACTGCACTGCATGAGTGTGACAGTGCATGGCTGTTTCCATGTACTGCTTCGCTTTTCTCTGCAGGGATCTGTCTCCCCACTTGCAGAGCACAGAGGTGTCCAGGTGGCACTAACTGCCCTCACACATTCCCCAGGCTCCTTTCTGCTGCTACAGGACACCCTCCGTTGGGGTACGTTCCATCAGGTCTCAAGTTTCTTCCCGCCCTGGAATGCCTGCAAACCAAACGGGAAACAGTAGTATCATTAGACATGCCAAACTCTGAGCTCCTCTCATTGTGAGGTTTGCAGCTTATCATCTTTGCGTTTTTTTTTTTTTTTTTTTTTTTTTTTTTTTTTTTTAGTTAGATCCCATTTGCTTAGTAAAACTTTCCCAGAAAACACAAACAAAAACCAGAAAACCAACGACCCTTTGTCCTAAGGAATGAAGACAATGAAGTAGAAACATGGAATGAACTGTCTAGGTCTTGTGTGGGTCTCCTCCAGGAATCCTGTGAGCCACAGGGTTCCCCTCTCTATACTGCTGCCTCATGCACACAGTTCGGAGTCATCTATCCCACAGTGTCTCCGATGTAGTCAGACCATAATCTAAGGAGCGGCTGTAGCTTGGGCCACAGCACATCAACCTTTCTTGTACCTTTGGAAGTGCAAATGAGAGGTGCCAGTTCATTAGACCCATGCTGCTAGGTATGGTGTGCAGGGTGCTGTGGAGTCCTAGACAGGCTGGAGACTGGACCACGGACAGAAACCTTCAGAAACCGGGGCCCAAATCACTCTTCCATGGTTGTAAGTTGAATACCTCAGGGTTTGTACATCGAAGGAAGGCTGACTGGCATACTTGTCTCCTTGGAGGAAGAAGGCATTGTATGGATTTTCCCTCCAAATTGCTTAAGGAAGAGACTCTGAGTGGTGCAAATGCAGAGAAGAAGGGGTTTGGACTGCAGGGAGCCCCAGGTCTGCAGCCTCTGTGGACTGTCACCCAAGTTTGGGTGGGCTTTCCGGTGATAGAAATTGCTAGAGTCATTGCTGTACCTTGTGCAGAACATCTCATCAATATTCCCGGTCGTAACCCCAATAAAACCTCATTGTCTCACCAACTAGAACATTGGTGTAGTTGTGTATTCATTAATTTGGTCTCTCGTGTGCTTCCTTTCGAGGGTGAACAAACGTGTTTGTGTTGTGTCTCCCTGGGAAAAGTCAGTCATACAATGTTTTGCACTCTAACAGGGATGTGACAGGATCAGAGTTGGAGAGGATCACGACATGAATAGTGCTCCGGGAGCCTGCAACGGAGGCTGAGCACCTGCAGTTGGAGCATCCGAGAGGGAGTTCTGATACAGCAGCCCTTTCTCAGACGATGTGGGGCGGCGTATCTTTTGCAGAGGCAGCAGTTGCATGGTTCTTGCTATAGGTAGTGAGGCATGCAACCAGGCCGAGCCACTGCAGGTTGGAGTGTCTGAGGAGGTAGACTGAGGATGGCCGTTTTTGCCTGTGTGGTGTGATGTGGCATGCCTGCTTGAGGAGTGAGTTCTATGACGTGACTGTGGAGATGCCCTAAAAACAGTTAAAGGCTTAGGGAAAAATTTGAGACACTTGAGAGTAGCATGCAAGGGTTGAGATTGCCCGGTCACTGCTGTGTGTAGTAAGAAATGCAGCTGAGGCCAAAGTGGCAGCAAAACAGCAGCTTGTGTATGTGAAGGAGAAATTCGAGTGAGAAGGGAAATGGGAGCCTTTCAATGGGAGCCTCTGCTCTGGCAGGTAAATTAGGTAGTTTAGAGGATGAGATAGAGATGTTGGCGTGCATGCCTTTGGCTTGGAGGCCAAAAGAAAACGGAGAAAATGGGTTAGATCCATGCTGAAAAGCCCTTCCTGGGATCCAAGACCTTTGAACCGGTGAGAAGACCCAGAGTGGGGAGGATATGGTAGAAATGATGAGGAGATACCTACGCAGTATGACCTTGATAGAAAAAAGGAATTGACCTAACATCCAGTCTTTACAATGGTCCTGAACTTGGAGAAGTCCTTTAACAAGCGATGACAGAGACTGTCACGTTCCGGCTTGTGAGACTGTGGGACATGGAAGTGCACCGAGTCAGTCTGGCTGCTGTTGAGGCACAATTTTACTACAACTTAACAGTAGTACAACCCAGCCCTCAAGATGCAGGCTGCATCCTGAAACTGTGAGGGAAAGCAGTCCCCATAGACTGGCTTATCAGAGACATTAGGGTACTTGGTTATCTCCGTCGGACTTCAAGCAGCAAAAGTTCTTTCAATGTGATTGTTAGGATTGGTATGGGGCCACGGTGGCTATATTGAGTCTCATGGTGATGTACGGTCTAGTTGGAGAGGCTCTGGCATATCTGAACAATCTAGAAGAGCAAGTCAAGTTTGTAAAGTGCTAAAGCTCTTGGGAGGAGATGGGGAGAGGAGTGAGCAGACAATGGGTCCCCTCTGAATTACTCAAAGGCAAACATAGCAAGAACAGTGTCCAGCTAGATTTCCCAGGGAAATTATAAGAAGCCAAAATCTGTGCTTGTGGATCTTTGGAAGGCCTTAACACCTGACCAACCGCTCAGCAAATGGTGAGGAAATGGAAGGTAGAGAGGTACAGGCATGCAAGAAGATGCCCTGGAGTGGAAGCCACCAGACACATTCCTGTGCTGGGGTAGCCAAGGTTGCCTGTGAGTGAGGGACATACACAGATACCTGAGACCTCTGGTGAATTACAGACTTATTGGTCCCCCACTAATGTGTTAAATATCTGGGCTTCGGTGGATATTGGAGCTGAGTATACCTCAATTCACAGCAGAAGCACCAGGGACAATGGGCCACCATGCGTGGATATAGGCACATGCCATATGAAGGCAAAGGGATTGCTTGTCCTTGGAACAAGGAGTTATCCCATCCCAGTACAGTGTACTTTCTCCACCACAAGAGAACATTCTGGGGGTAGATATAATGTTGGGTCACACCCTGTATATAACTGTTGGAGAGTTTTGCCTAGGGATACAGATGTTGAAGCCAGCTGTGCATGGTTGGGCAAGATGGGAACCTGTAAAATTGCCTAAAGCAAAGTAGAGTGATGGAGGCCAAGCAGTCTAGACTACCTGGGAGGCCACGATGAAATTACAGAAGCTATTAGAGAATTAGAAGGGGTAGAGGTTATCTGTCCAGCTCATATTGAAATAACTCAGTATGGCCCGTGAAAAAGCCTTGGCTCCTGGAGAATGATTGTGAATTCTAGAGAGCTAAGTAAGGTATTCTCCCTCCCATGCCTCTGTACAGAATCTTCCTCTTTTGACTGCACAGCCGGTGCGAGCAATGAGGAGTTTCCATGCCGTGCTAGGCCGCGCTGTTTTCCTTTAGCAGCTGGGTCCCAAGACGCATTTGTATGCACATGGAATGGTTGCCAGTGGACGTTCAGAGCACTTCCCCAAGGTCACCTTCACAGTCCCCACTGTTGGCCATGAGTTGGTGGTTATGGACCTTGCTTTGTCATCCTGTCTCCCTCTGTCAAAAGGATTCATTATATTAATGACATGGATTGCTACCCCCAGAGTGTTTGGCAGATTGAGAACAGCATCTCAAAGGACATACATGTGTACCTGAGGGAACAGAGTCTAAAGGACACAGGTGCACCTAAGTGATCGACGTCCAAAGGACATGGTGCCCCTGAGAGATCAGCATGTGAAGGACTCCAGGTGCACCTGAGAGAATGAGGGTAGGAGATGAATCCACCACACAAGAAGCAAGGCCAGGTGCAGCTGTAAAATTCCTGAGAGTATGGGGTTGGGGATTTAGCTCAGTGGTAGAGCGCTTGCCTAGCAAGCACAAGGCCCTGGGTTCGGTCCTCAGCTCCGGGAAAAAAAAAAATTCGAGAGTGCTGCAGCGCTGTAAGACACACTTGATAGCTCACGCGTCACTGAAGAGACCCCTACAACAGCCAGTGTCTGCAAATGCAAAGGAGCTGCAGGTCTTGGGGCGCCAGGGTTATTGGAGGATTTTTGCAGCCTATCTTGCTTAGCTGCTCGTCTTCTGTATAGCCTGATAAATTCCAAATGGAATTGGGAGCTTGAAAGCTCAAAAGGCTTTTGACCACGTTAGACCCTTGTGGGAAAGGCTAAACAGCTGTGTACTCCATCACCCCACTGTGCCTTCGTGTTAGAAATCACCAGAAACTCAGAAGGGCTGTAGCAGAAAACCTGAGCAAGCAGTTCCAACAGGGTTTTGGTTCCAGGTGTGGAAGGTGGTAGAAGCTGGTGTTGAGTACTGGAACAACAGCAGCTACCTGTATATAAAGCATTGCAGCTGGCAGAATGCATCACTGGCGCCATCCCAGTCACCATCAAAAGAGCTTCTGCAATTATGAGTTGGATTGAAAGCCTTCCGGCCATGCCTCTCTGGGGTGGCACAGAATCAAATCTTATAAAGGTGGTGTGCATGGTTACAGCAATGTGGTGTAGTGTGTGTGAGCCCTGCCACCAATGCTATATAGGCTGTGCTGGGGACAGTGCCTTTTCAAGCCACTGAGCCCCTTCCACCAACTGAACCGTCATCTAAGCCAGACGAAAGGTCAGAAGGGACCCCATCCATCCCTGTAGATGCCTGGGACATGGATGGTGGGAGGAAGAGCAGCAAACATACATCGCTGCTGCGGTCAGCCTCAAATGTCATAAAAACAACCACACACGCCACCCCCCACCCCCTCATAGCCACTGGTGAGGCTCCTGAGAACAAGGGACTTGCTGTGGCTTAAGGGCCCAAGTCTTAGCCATAGATGGGCATCTCTATCACCTCTTCCCAGACTCAGGGAGCACTGTGAAAGAGGGGGCTGGAAAGAATCTAGGAGCAGAGGAGGAGTGAACTGTTATGGAGCACTTTCCTCCTAAATGCAGCATTCCCTCCTAATTGAAACATGCCCGTGCCAAGGGAAGGGAAGGCCCTGAGCCTCTAGAGGTAAACCAGAGATCAGGTGACTGAAAAACAGAAACTTGGACTACTCTTGAAGGCATCGGAACAGAAGCATGAGAAAGAACAAGCAGTTGGTAGAAGAAGGGACTCCGGCCAGCAAACTTCAAGAAAAAACCAGACATTCCAACTGTGGAGCTGCCTGCAAGATGCAGAGAGCTCCAGGGCTGCAGCTTTTCTGGGCCATCACCCACTTTGAAGTGGGCTTTCCAGTAATGAAGCTCAGGCTTTTGGTTTATTTGTCTATTTTCATTTTGTTTTTTAAGTTGACCCTGCTCCTTGTAAGAAATTCCTCACCCATACTTCTGTTATTGGTATACTCATTACTCTGGTCTGACATAGGTTTCCTTTCTGGGGTTAAGTGATTGTGTGTGTGTACTGGTTAGTTTTAACTATCAAGTGGACACAGCCTAGAATCATGTTAGAAGACAGTCTTAATGAAGAATCATCAAAATTGAGCTGGCTTCTTAGTGTGTCTTTTAAGGATTACCTTGTTAGTTGATGTAGAAAGACCTAGCCCATTATGGGTGGCACCATTCCCTAGGCATGGGGTCTTGAGCAATGTAAGAGAGGAGAAAACTAGCTGAAAGCAAGCCAGGACATCCTCTCATCTCTGCTTTACCAGCATTGGAATTACAGGCAAACAACTGTGCCTGGATTTCCCCTTGAGTGCTGGGGATCTGAATTCAGCTCCTCATGTGTGTAAAACAAGGATTTTACTGACTGAAAAGTAAAGTTCTCTCCAGAACCAAGGCTTATCACTCTTGACAATGAGTGGGGTCGGTGTGGTCAGTACCTCTGCAGTGTGGCCAATGTCCTTGCCATGTGCTCAGTATCCCTGCTGTGAGGTAGGTGTCCCTTCTAGTACCTTCTCACTGCTTCTTCCCTGATCCATGTGTATAGATGGGGGAACAAGGGCCCAGTGCACAGGGAGATCCCTGTGTGGAGCCTCTTCCCATCACACTGCTCTGGGTTCTTCTCTGTCTGTTCTGCGGCACAGTTACCATCTCTGAGTGCTCTTCTTCCTTTCCAATATACCACCATGTTACAAGATGTCTGTATCTTATGGTGTTCGTGTCTTTGGTCCTGAGGAGGAGCCTGGAGAGCGTGCAGAAGCTACAGTGATCAAGGAAAC